AAAGCTGCTCCGGAAAGCTCAAAAAAAACAACAAACTTTATAGAATATTTTTATAACATTTTCTAAGGTCCTAAGAATTATAATCCCTTTGTCTCCTAAATCGATTAGAATCGAGGAATGTGTTGCATTAAGTGAACATCACTAATTGTAAAATTTGACCAAGACATGACGAATCGGCCGTACCACGAAACTGAACACATAATACGAAAAAGTACCGTTCGTTCCATATTCATGACCTACTAAATAAGGACAACAAGTGTACCGCACCAAGTAAAAGCCGCAACGTATAAGCAGTAAATGACGCGGCGCACACTCGTTTGCATAATTGTTTTCCTGAAATTTACTGATGATTTCGAGTGATCTTTAACTACAATAACGACCGGGCGCGTTCGTTAAAAAAAAGCAGTGGAGAAAAATTAATTTTCATAGATTCTCACAGTGGCGCTATGACAAAAAAGTCGTTATAAACCAGAAACAAAGACCGCAAGAAGCACTTAAATAATTCGTAAGGTTTACAGCTCGTTTGTTCGTTCCGTAGCTCATTTGGGAGGGCGTTAGATCGGATTGAAGGGATTTTTCTTAGTGTTCGATCTTTGGCTCGAAACATAAAACTCCGATGCGACGTCGCATCGCAGAAATCTGAGCGCACACGACGCATCGCAAGAATCTGCGAATTGCTCCTCGTCGCTCATTTGTGTGTTTTTCCTATATTTTCTTATCAATAACAGTAGCGCAACACTCCTTTTACGATCCATGTCGCTACCTAGTGTAAAAAATACGTTCAGTACGATTAAAGATCGTCTAAGGAATGGTTACCCGAACCGTGGCACTGAGATGCCTTGCCGCAAGAAATCGCATCGCATCTATTCGCGTAGTTTTCTGCGTTGCGAATTCCCATCGCGCAGTTTTGTGTTTCGACCCTTAATATTACTATGTATATCCTTAATATTATGTATATATTTTATTACGTTAATCTAACCGAATAACTTGTTTGTTGCGAAATGTTTACTTCATAGGTAATTTATGATATTATGAGAAAGTATTATGTATGTACATAGGCACTATTTGCGTAACGTGGATTATTCCATTCATGGAAATCTGAAATTTCGGTCACGATTTGCCTAAATAGGCTTTTTATGTAAAGTAGCCAAGCCACTAAATGGGTAGTGGTTATCGTCGCCCATAGACATCTGCAACATCAAAGATGCTGCCCACGCGTTGCCAATATTCGAGAGCCCTGTTGACTCGCTTTTTGATAAACCCCATGTCATACCGCGAAAGAAATACTTCAGGAGGGAGGCATTCTACATGTTGCACGTTTAAGGCAGGAATAAACGTGATGCCCGCGTGATTTGCCATGCCAAGCATCAAAGACATTGATAAAGATAAAGGATACGCTGTACTGTTTTGACAAGAACGTGACAGTGGCAACAAATTTGAAATGTGGACCACTATTACGTCTCATGCACCCTCAATTTTTTTGCTGACATTGGATTATACCACTCCTTCACATCACATCTCTTCGAGTGAAACACTGCGGGTAGATAGATAGAACACTTTGAGAAGCATCAAGCTAAAATATGGTCGGATGATTTCGTATCACGTTGAATAAGTGGACCCTATTCGCAACTGGACACACGGCTATTGTCAATTGTTACTCTATTGCCTTTTATTAAATGTAATCTTGATACGATACGTACAACAATTTTCGTAGTTTATTTATTTGTATTTGTTTTTTAGGTAATAAAAATCTTTCTAATAAAGACTTCGAGAGGTATAATGTGAGATCGGTGAAAGAAAATCGATGCTATTGCCCCATATACCTGCTACTAAAACACTTTTTTGTGTTTTTTTTAAGATATCAAGTGGACGAACAAGTTGTGCACCTGGTGGTAAGCGACAGGCCTATCCATAACAGTTGCAGTGCCACTAATAGCTTTAAATCCCAAAATTCTTAGGGGTACTGTCGTTGCGCCCACCACTCTGGACATAAGTTGACAAGTCGCATGTGCCTGTAATTTCACCAGCACACTTATTCTTCTAAACCGGAACGCAGTAATGGTCACATTATTGCTTGTCCGCAGAAATAGGTAACTTACTAATTTGCCTAAACTGTTTTAATGACCAGGTCTAGTCGGAGAACGGTTGTTTCTCAATTTAGAGACCGACGGTTCAAGTCTCTGTGGCAGCATGTACCTAAGTATGATATATTTAAACATTTAGTAGCTGTAGAGTTCCTTGTGAAAGAGTTTGTCCAGGGAAGTATTACCATAACTGGCTCCGTGGCCGAACGGTTACCATGCCGGACTGCCACGCAGACGCCCCAGGTTCGATTCCCGGGCCGGGAGAAATATTTGCATGGCCTACATTTATTTCTCTCGTGACTTTGGGTGTAATTTGTGGTTGTTTATGTGTATGTCCATGGCACCGCGACACAGGGTTTCCCTAGTGGGGCTATGTTGAGTGTGTGCGTTATTATTAACTATTAACTAACTATTAACCATTGAGTTTTGATATTGAAGGATAAGGGTGCTGGTGAAATTTCACGTACATGGGACTTGTCAACTTATGTCTCAGGGTGTCTCAGGGCGTAGTGGCAGTGCCCCTTAGATCTTTCTGATTTAGAGAATGGGGTACTGCAACTATCGAGTTCTTAAGTTTTAGCGATTGTTACACATAGGAATTGAAAAAATTTTTTTCGTATATTTGTTCTTTTCTTAATTTTTAATATTAAGTAAGCAACAAACAAGCATACGGCCCGCTTGATGAAAAGCAGTCATCGTCGCCTATGAACGCCTGCAACACCTGGGACGCCACGAGCGCGTTGCAAACCCTTTAAGACCCTTCTCACGCCCTCTTTGCAGGACTTCATGCTGTATTCCTGCGGGAAAACCGACAGGGACTTCATTCCACAACCTAATTGTACGTGTTTTTTCAAACACACCACGTTTCGGATAAGTCCCATGGTCACGGCTGATTGAGATGGTAGAGTCATCAACTAATTGTGTCTAATGTTAATGAAAATCACCCAATTTTATGTTATTATTACAAAAGTTATTAATTAAATAACTTATTTTTAATAGTTCAGAGAACATTTCAATTTCAGCTACATGTGTTTTACAAAATTATTATATTTTAAAAATATATTTTCTTTATTAAATTTCATTTCTTTTTTCATTTTCATTTTTTTATTTCACTTTCAGTTTACCTGATGCAAAGTGACAATGAGGTCGACGATGGAGGATGCACACATAGATAATGCCTATTCAGCAGGAACAAGTCTGCAGGCAGGGAATTCCATTCCATAGCCGTTCGCAATATAAATGTGGAAGCGTAAAGGCCCATTTAGATTGAGAGAGTTTCACGTCTCGAAGATACGATTATCGAAAGAATATAAAAAACTTTCCTCGTCTAAACATTCGCGATTATCGCCCTTCCACGTGTGCGATAATCGCCTCGCCTTTCAATATTGAACGTCTCCGTGTAAACAGAACTTGAAAGCAAAAATCGTATTTCGAGTTTTTGTGCCAGCCGTTTCTACTATGAGTACAGTGCGCGAGGGTATTTTGATTATCACTACTTTTCTAAGACAAGATTTAAGGAAACGAGAACGAAAAAAAATTTGGGTTTAGAAATGTTATAAAATTTGGAAAAAAAATGTATATTTGTATACACTGCAATGAACTTAATATTATCAGCAGTTCCAAATTTGAATGGTTTTTGCGTCATTTTGATATGTCCATAGTCAATACCGCAGTAATCACGGAATTCGAATGGCATTTCTCGCACTCAAAACGATTCGAACTGATTTGTACGATAATGAACTTGAAAAAATGTCATACGAGGTCGTGACTTGTCCATCCCGTCACTTGTTACCATAAAAAATAATTGTCAATGTTTCGCAGCAACACCTCTCGCTAGAGGTGAATAAAAACATTGTAATGAAGCGTGCACGTGTCGATAAAGTTTTACAACCTTTAAAAAACGTGTAAAGGCCCCAATCAGTTGTTCTTAGAGGCGATCAATGTCATAATAAAATTTATTTCTCTTTGTTACAGGTCTACCCAATGACTTATCAGTGTATTGGCACCAGTACCCTTACCGCCTGGGTTTAGGGTTTTGCAAGCTGCGTGCTTTGATTTCTGAAGCGTAAGTGTTTTTGTATTTGCTACCTGTTGAAGCCTACATAAGTTCAGCTTGAAAATAAATAATTTTGTGTATCTCAACGCAAGAGACGCCATTGTGCTTTTTATAGATTTTTGATTTTGACGTCTAACTTATAACAAAATTATATTACTATAGACCACTGATAGTATAGAAGCGTGCGACCATGTATACCTACCTATAAGTTTTTTTAAATAAAATTGTAGTCAGATAAGTTGCCGTGCTAACGTGTACTCTAGTAGCTTCATAAAGAGAAAGAACGTATGAGACGACACGATGATGTATTCGGTAAAAAAATAGAGGTGAAAGTTTATAGAATATGAAATTTTGAATATATTCTTTAATAACTTTTGTGTAAAAGGAAAACCGACCCCAAAAGTTCGTGGAGTTACATTTATTTACCAAGTTTTATTCAAATCGGATACCGGAAAGTGCGCGAAACCGGATTCGTACCCTAGGTTGCCTTAGAGGAGGAATATTTTCTTCAAATTTAAATGGGATCAATACTGAGGTACCTTCTTTCCAATAAAAAAGAATCATCGAAATCGGTTCACAAATGCCGAAATAATCGCCTAACATACATAAAAAATACGCTCCTTTTTTGAAGTCGGTTTGCCACCATCGAGTATATAACTAGAAATAAAGACGAAATAAGGGCCACCCATCCAAGGCAACTCATCGGGCAAATAGGCCTTATATCACATTTGAACATTAACTCTCGTTTGCACTGAAATCATAAATTAGAAAGATGAAATAGTACAGCGCCAACAACTGACCTATGTGTACGTCCTCTGTATTCCAAAAATATTGTGTATTTATTGTAATAAAGATATTATCTTTTACTATGGGGGGCTGTTCCGTTCAGTGGTGTGGGAAAACAAAACATCTAATTGCAAAACGAACGGAATCACATTTCTTCGTTAATTAAATATGTAATTTTTCAATTTTCGTCCATTATAGCAAAGCTCAAGGTAAACTGGTCGATTTGAAGTGAAACAATTGATGACACATGTCAATTGTTTCGGATTCGGGCTGGCTAATCGGAGCGCAGTTGTCACCGTAATGATTAGGCAGACTAGTTTTCAAACAAATTAAATGACATTTCGTCTCTGTTTCTGGTTATATACTCGGCACCAACGCAAACCGCAAAAAGCCGAGAATAGAAAAAGGAATGTCACCGTTAACAGATGACATTAAGAAAGCAATCACGTAATGACACGTTTACATATAAAATTAACGTCGCGGTTACATTCTCTTTCGTGGGAAATCATATAGATAAACCACATGGTAGAAGACCTGCAACGCGGAGAAATTTAAATTTAATTACCTTCTTAATTAATTCAAAAAGATCGCAATTTAGATTAAATAGCCTTATAGCGATAAAAACAAGCCGTTGCGATATGTATGTTTACTTAGGAAACATTTTATCCTTACAAAATTATATAGGTATTTATTCTGGTACGTATTTGAAATTCCAATATAATAATACGTGTAAAATTTGCCACGTGTAAGGCAATTTCGTGTTCAAATCGAAAAGATTGGGCTGTATATGACTAGAAATATTATTACCTATCACTGAAGCCAAAATTGATATAGGATGTTTAATAACAAAACATTGTTAGGTTATGAAATGATGGCATAGGAAAAAAACAAGAATACAAGAATACAAGATATTTATTCGCTGAAAAATGTAGTTTACAATGGTGTTATATTATATTATTATTAGATCGTACATTTCACCAAAACTTGGCATACGAATATTTTACACAATTCTTATTTCAATCACGCACAGTGGTTAAATTTTACATTTTATGTTATCTATTAAAAAATCATTTATATTGTAGTAGCATTGTGTAACTAACAAATTATGTAATTTTATTTTAAATTGCCTACAATTTAGTTCTTTAACTGCATCTGGTATTTTATTAAATAATTTAGGTGCCAATATAAACATCGTTCTATTGTGAAAGGTGGGGCGTTGTTTTGGCCGTATTTCCATTTTGTTCCTTGTTTTCCTGGGATGTCTGGTTTTCACTAGATTAAAGTTGCCTGGATTTTGTTTTATATAAACACAGGCCTCGTAAATATACATAGATGGTAGGGTTAAAATCTTTAGTTTTCTAAAATAGGGTACACAGCTTTCTCGCTGGCCCACACCAAACACGGCCCTGACACATTTCTTCTGGGTTTGAAACAGTGGTGTAATATGTGTTGCAGCAGCGTTCCCCCAAAGCAGCGGACCATATCGCAAACTAGAGGCTACATAGGCGTGATAAGCACAAAGAGCAGTTTTTTGTGACGTTATTCTCGTCAGGACGTATACGTATTTACTAAGTTTAGTATTTAACTTATTTATATGTGACTTCCAGCTCAAGTGATTATCAAGAGTAAGGCCCAAGAAATTTGTTTCATCAACCTGAGCTACATTTTGTGCATTGTAGGTTATAGTTAAATTTTTTGGTCGTGATTGTGGCATATAGAATTGCATAAACTTAGTCTTGTCCAAATTTACTACGAGATTATTTAATTGTAGCCATTTTATAGTGTCACTTAGTGCATCATTTAAAGTTGATTCATATTCATCAATATTAGTGCATCTCACAACCACAGACGAATCGTCAGCAAAAAGTATCATCTTTTGTTGAACATGGTCTGACAAGTTGTTAATATAGAGAATATATAATAGTGGCCCTAAAATACTGCCCTGCGGTATACCGCGCTCTACAGTTCTAATATTTGATTTGGCTACTTTCTCCGTGTTTTTGTCCATGTATGTAATATGTGTCTCTTGTTGGCGATTCTCTAGATATGATTTTATTAGATCATGTGCTGGTCCTCTCAATCCGTAGTCATATACATATTTTGTCTTATAGTAACTTATGTGACACAAAGTCAAATGCTTTCGTCATGTCCATGAAGATTGTAGATACTGCTTCCCTATTATTGATACTAGCCGATACAGTTGTTAGTAAATCAATTATTGCATAATTTGTAGATTTATTTTTCTGGAAGCTATACTGTTCTAGTTTTAATGTTCCAGATTTTTCTAAAAATCCATAAATACTATTATAAATTATTCGCTCCAATATTTTTGATAGCACTGGTAGTAAAGCAATGGGACGGTAGTTTTCACATATTTCCTTATTCCCTTTTTTTAATAAAGGCTTAATAACAGTAGTTTTTAGTTTCTCAGGAAAAATGCCCTGGGACAGGCATAAATTAAATATGTAACATAAAGGACTCGCTAATTCTTTTGAGCAAAATTTGATAACTTTGCTTGAGATGCCATCATATCCCACGCTATGTGTATGTTTCATGTTTCCGATTATTTTTATTATGCATTGTGGGGTGGTTGGTGTTAAATATATGGAGTTTCTTGATCTTTGTATCTTGTAGTCGTATCTATGGTCTGCATTACTAGCATCGTGTTTTATCAAATCCACAAATGAATCATTAAATAAGTTGGCTATGCCCTTAGGTTTATACACATATGTTTTATTCTTAAGGAATATTTTTGAAATATATTCCTTTTGCTTGATATATTTTTGTTTATTGATTAAATTAACATTTTTATAAATGCTCATTATTTACGCTAGTTAGTAGTAGTTCTGAGAGACGGCCTCCTCACGTAATTGTAATTTAAATTTATGTTGCAAAGACACTTGCAAAGACGTTCCTAACACTAGATTATTTTAATATTTTTTATAAAAAAAAAACTGCTGGAAGCTGAAATAAGACGAAAAAGTGCCATTTTTGACGGCCTTACCCAAGTACGTCTATGTATCTTCACAAATAGAATAAAGAGATCAGTTTCTTTCGTCTGGAAATCCGGAATTCGAAAAAAGTAATTAATTAATATTTGGTGGTTTTTGTGGTTCTCTTTTAGCTATATATAGCTAATATATATAGCCGCTGCTAATACCTTTTATTAGATACAAGCACCCGGCAACTGGAAGCGAATATTCATACAATTGCGGTTGCCGCAACCGGCGACAGTGTTCGACTGCCGCAACCGGCGACTATCTGGATTTCATATGAATTACAGTATGAAAATAGAATATTCACTTCTAGTTGCCGGTTGCTTGTATCCAACGCAAAATGTTTGCTCGGCGCCTCATACTGCTAGTTTTCAAAGAAACCTGCACCTATCGAAATAACTTCTAACGTATTCGTTTCGAATCCAGGAACGACGCGACGGTCCGAAATGTCACAGGGTCACAGGGATCATTTTATCTCTAGGTGTACAAGCGATATTCGTATTTTCTCGGATTCGAATTGGACTTAGTGTACAAGCGAAGTGGGTCCGACTTTTCTAGATCGTGTACTCACGTTCTTACTCCAACTCATCGTCCAAGGTAAAAATGTTGGTAGAAGCCGGCACTCGTGGTTGAAAAATTTGAGGGAATGGCTCAGCTGCAGTACCACCTCGTGCTTTAGAGCGGCAACCTCCAAAGTCAGTGTTACCATGACGTTACCAACCTTCTATAGGAGACGAACCCTAAGAAGAAGTGTAGTATAAAAAATAAACTTTTCAAGTACAGTCAAGAGCACATCAATGTTAACACTTTGGACTTTGGATCGTTCTTACATAGTATAGCAGGACCAAATAGGGTAACTCCCACCTGTTCAGCGCATCAATGCCTACACTTCACTCGGAGCGTAGGGTTGTCACGTTATTATTTAAGTTGTATTACAGACTTTAAACATAATTTAGAAAAATAAGGTATTTATTACAGTATTTTTGTGCTATATTGTCAAAGTCAAATAATCATTTATTCCATAGGTAAAATTTTTACACTTGAAAACGTCATTTGTAAGCTACTGCTCGTTCTGACCTCCCTGAGAGGAACGAGCAAGAAACTCTAGGGATTGCTCTTTTCAAATAAACTTAAATGCTAGACTCTTGTTGTCTTTCTTATCTAAAACATATTCTTCAATTTTGTAATATGACTTTTCAATCAAAATACTTTTAATGTAAGTTTTAAACTTAGGAAATGATAATCTTAATATATTCTCCGGAATCTTGTGGTAAAAACGTATACAGTTCCCCATAAAAGAATCGTTTATCCTAATAAATGTACAACTTTTCTCTGGGAGAAACCCGAGAACCTAAACGGTACACAGAACGAATCGCTCGTTTTTGCGGTTGAAATTACATTTGTCATATCGTCGGGTAATTTTGAAACCTTGTAACTCGTTTTTGAACGAAATTCCTGTTTTACTCCTCAAACGCAATATGGGGTAATTAAAGTTTAAAATATAATACGTAAACAGTTTTTAAGTTATAAAATAAAGATATAATAAATTATTATTAATCATAGATTGTCATATAATTGTTTCTAGTAATTCTGTTTTTTGTGCCCACTCAAAAAGTTACATCATGGATTTTCATGAAGGAGGATGTTTGCGGTTAGCAGACACCCACACACGTTGCGCTACACGTCACAGTCCATACGTATAAAGAAACAAACAGTCTTTTATTACATTATTATCTATGTTAGTCTAATGGGTCAATGTAACTTGAGAATACATAAATTAAAAAAAATGGAAGGTACGAGGCTTACGAATTTAGCGGACGATATGCAATACTTGCATATTGATGTCTTTATACCAGTATCGCGGATTAGCATCCCGATTATGGGAATATAATCTTGAAATAGTAATGAAATGCCAGTATCAATGACACATTTATAAATAAAAAATATAGAAATTTGACAGTTAAAGAAATTAATTACCGAGCTTCAATTCTAAATTAAAGGCGCGTGCGAACCGCTTTATGCAACTCGAATACCGTGCAAGGTTGTGTGAATATGAGCGTCTGTACAAGGCTCGCAACCGGCGTGCATACATACAAGCCGTGTTGCTACCATCGAGTATATAACCAGGAATAGAGACGAAATAAGGGCCACCCATCCCTGGCAACTTTTCAGGCAAATAGGACTTGTATCACTTTTAAATATCAATTCTCGTTTGCACTGAAATCACAAATTAGAAAGCTGAAATGGTACAGCGCCAACAACTGACCCTGTGTGTACGTCTTCGTGTATTCCAAAAATGTTCTGTGTTTATTGTAATAAAAGTAATATCTCTAACTGTTCCATTCGGTGGTGTGGGACAAAAACAGCAAAACACCTAATTACAAAGCAAACGGAATCACATTCCATCGGTAATTAAGTATTAAATATGTAATTTTTAAATTTTCGTCCCTTATAGGAAAGCTCAAGTTAAACTGGTCGATTTGCAGTGAAGTAATTGACGACACCGTGATGACACCCGTCAATTGTTTCGAATTCGGGCTGGCCAATCGAAGCGCAGATGTCACCGTAATAATTTGGCAGAATAATTTTCAAACAAATTAAATGACGTTTCGTCTCTATTTCTGGTTATATACTGGATGGCTGCTATACATTTGTATGGCGTTACACTACTTGTCTTATTATACTATATCAGCACAGTTTTATCTGTAAATAAAATTGTAGTTAATGATGATGTAAATAGGCACTTTTTTGAAGTGCATAGGTATTTGTTCATGGTGTTTTTTTTCTTGCAGGGCAACATACATATCAGTGTTAACAATATCAGCGTTTTCTCTGGAGCGCTACCTTGCGATCTGCCACCCGCTGCACTTGTACGCAATGGCTGGGCTGACGCGGGCCTCCCGGATCATCCTCGTGCTTTGGATAATATCTATCGTCTGCGCCTCGCCTTTTGCCGTGTACAGCGATATCAGCTACAGGGAATACCCGCCAAGTAAGTTGTACTTGATGTAACAAAGCCACTTCAGCAAAATAACAAACTTTCTATGTCCCAATTTTGATTTTTTTTTGAAACCACTTTATCATTGTAATTCCTTTGAAACTCTGATTGAGGTTTAAAAATATATAAATCGACAAATCCGTACAACGACGGCCTATGCATAAGATTGCTTATTCTCAGAACATTGTACATTTCGTTTGTTGTTCTTCGCTGTGGGTATCAGATCGACTGTTGTTCGATTTTATATTTCCAAAATGAAATAAGATAGATAAAAAAATTCTGAAAACACCTGACGATTGGCCTTATTCTGAATAACGAGATTATGTATTTATCATATTATCACTTTATAATCACATCAGGGGGTCTACTCTCGATCTCCGTCTGACATCCGTCCGAAACAATTACTGCTAAATAAACAATACTTGACCAAATGAAATGACGCGTCATGCGAATGAAGTTTCATACTGGATACTTGTCTTTTAATTTTGTCGAATATTACTTATTTGACAGTAATTGTTTCGGACGGATGTCGGACGGAAATCGAGAGTAGACCCCCGGACTCTGTTCTTCGGATGAGTCGAAATGTAAAACAACGTCACACATGTTGCTCAGATTAAATAAACCCTTGTGTTATGGAAATCAGAAACAATGACGGTATCATAAAACACTCAAACTCGACATAATACGAACAGAAACATTAGTTTTCTACATTGACTCGACCGGGAATCGAACCCAGCACCTCAGAGACTGACACCATGAAAATTGATGAGCAAGTCACTCGACCACAGAGGTCGTAAAAAAGATTACATTGCAATTGTGTGAGTATTTATTATTCAGTTAAAATCAAGTTGCAATGGCGGTTGATTCTCAATAGGGTGTCAGAAAAATGGCAGTTATGGCATACAGTCATTTAATCAATCACTAACGATTGTTGTCCCTTTACTAAAACTACCATGAGAATAACTATGCATATCTTAATTTTTATCTCGTTCAGCAATTTCTTTTCATATTTGCATTTTTGTCGAGTAGGTTATTACTAGATTACGTCATAGACTTGCCACCGACTTTTTTTGTAATAAATACCAAGTGACGGGACGTAGAAGTCGTCCGCCTGATGGTAAGCGACATGACTATACATTTCTCTACCTAATACTGGTGGCAATTTGAATTATTTAAGTATTCGTGTACACATATTATCGTGAAATATTAAATATTATTTCAGGATTCTACACTCGAATAATAAGTAATACGTCATGACAATATTCTAGAATATTTAAATACCTTATAATAACTGCCACCGAAATTAGACAGAGAAAACTAACCTGAAAATTACCTGATAATTATTAGTGTTGCACATAACTTCGATATCTTCAATGCGAGGTTAAATAGGTGCCTGTGCTCAAAATCAAATTACAAGTGTTTGTTGTGTACCAAGTTGAATTGCTTGCTACAGAGAGAACTTGATATATATCTATCTTTCTTTTTCATTTCATTAACAGTTTATTTCGTCCTCTTTCGCTTGACTTGTTTTGAATCTGGAAGGTTTCCGTGATTGGTGCCCTTGTTTCTCGAAGAGATTACATCTCCTCTTAGATCTGTCTACAGTGAAAGCTTTGTAGGAATTAGATAATTAAGAACGTGACTGTTTACAATTTACAACTCATTTAAGACGTTTATTCACTTAGTTAAAGAAAACCATTTGGATTTAATTTATTGCTTAAGGGTTTTCTATTAAGGGGTCTCTGGGCTCACGCACTTGAAACTTGCCGGAATTGCGGGGTAATTTTCAGGTTAGTTTTCTCTACCTAATTTCGGTGGCAGTTTTTAATAAATGTTTAAATATTGGAGAAGGTTGTCATGCTTCGAAACATGGTAAAACCACGTATATCTTATTATCGTATCGATAGCATACACTACTGTACTTGCTCTCGTGCGAAAGGAGTTGCTAATCCGCGTGGTGGTCTTGCTGATTGTTGCCCAGAGCACGCCAGACGAGAGAAAAGCAATGACACATCTTGCGGGGACGCTCCTTTCGTGCACCCCACTTTTGTAGTCGTGAGAAGTACCACATACATTTTTTTATCTAATAGATTTTTCCAATTTTGTTTATTATTTAGTAATTATAGAGCACCTTGTGAAAGAATTCGTTGAGGGAAGTGGTGCCACCTTATCTATTTCTGCTGCCAAGAAGTAATGGTAAGGGTACTTACTGGTGAAATTATAGTCACATGTCTCAGGTTTGACGGGCGCAGTGGCAGTGCCCTCAAATCTTTGTGATTTAAATATCTAAGTGGTACTATAAATGTTATGGACAGGCGTGTCGCGTTTGATACAATAAAAAAAATCGTACCCCACTTGCTTTGTGAAGCAAAGGAATTTAATAGGAATTTAATAATAAACATCAATTTGCTTGTAAGCTAAATACACAAATTACTTACAATGTGACTAAGTACAAGATCATTATCATAGTACTCGTAAAATAAGAGCAAGAAGGGCAACTCCCGTTTGTTCGACGCGTAAATGCCTACATTTCGCTCGCAGCGTAGGGTTGTTACATTCGTTTATTGAAAAACACTTGAAAGCTTACAGTATTTAAATTACCAAAACGGTAATTAAGTAAGCTGCCGCCGGAGGATTTAAAAAAAAACGAAATTTAAGTTTAACTAATTTATTAAAAACTGAAAACTACAATATAATTATTACGTGCTAAAGCTAATGCCTGGGTTTGATGCTAAAAAATGAGTGTCATGAAAAATTATAAAATACGCAAACTGGGGGAAACGCTGACGTTGGTCTCGTTGCTGCTGCACGTTATGCTGACACTGCTTGCACGCGCTGTTGCGATGTGCTTCTCATTTGGGGCGCCGACATACATGATTTCAGCGATATAATTCCTCCACTCTCAGATCAGCAATTATTTTCCAACTTTCAGTGAAAACATTGGTGGAGGAGATGGTTTCGCATAGATATGATTTCCAGTGGTTTCAGTGGTTTTATCTCGTCGAATGCTGGTCGTCTTTTCAGATGATTTTGGTTCTGTGTTTTTCCAAACGTAGTAGCGGCGAGCCAGTACGGCGAGGGCGAGTACAGCTGCACCGAATAGTATAATGTAAAACGGTATAGTAGTATGGTACAGTACATCAGGAATCGTCTGCAATTGTAACTGAGGCTTGAACATAATCTTGTCTTGAACGGTGTGTAAACTTCTTCGTGAAATGTTGCTTCGTGATATAATAATATTGATTTTTACATAATATCATTGTTTACAACACTACAAAAGGCGCGCGGAGAAAATACGATTTGTTTATTTGACAAAACAGGCAACAGCGCACGGAGGCGGAGTGCAGAATCAGCTAGTCGTCGCATCAGGCATGCACGGTACGACAACGTTGCACGGAGCGCCGTTCAAATCTTGCTAATTTTCTCATACTAATCTTTTGTTTTACGTGTCGCGCCGTAAAGTAATTTCTTTCGCACTCATTGAATTCAGGGGGCTACTCTCGATCTCCGTTCCACATCCGTCCGAAACAATTACTATGAAATAAGTAGGTAATATTCGACAAAATTAAAAGACAAGTATCCAGTATGAAGCTTCATTCGCACCACGCGTCTTTTCATTTGGTCAAGTATTGCTTATTTGGCAGTAATTGTTTCGGACGGATGTCGGACGGAGATCGAGAGTAGGCCCCCAGTACTGAATTTTGTAAACAATTTCGGTTTCTTATGAGCACATCGCCGAACGCTCCACTCAAGGGTAAGTAATGATATACTGTAAAAGAGAAAGATAAATTCCAATTGTACTAATGAACCTTCGTAGTCCAGCTCTAAGTTACTTTTTTTTATTCATATAGATTAATTTTCTTACTAATACACTTTTGTCGAGTGGTTCTAGGTTGATATTGCGTTCTTGTAAATTTCATCAACTTTAATGGAAAAAGCATTGACTTACAAATAAATGGACGTCGGGTCTAATACAAAAACCACGAAAAAAATGTCCCAAGTCAACCTATTTAAACGTAGTGACATGTAAAGGAATATGAAAAAGCTAAAACGTTGAATTTAAATTGTAATGTCATCGCAGTACTGTCTAATTTTGCTTGCTTCGCTGTCAGTCGAACAAACGAAGACTAAAGCGTGAATGACGCTCTGTATACGATTTTAACGCCCTATAAGTTCGGACACTTTTTAGCGCGGACCCGACGTCCATATAATTGTAAGTCAATGGGAAAAAGTTTTTTGTTTACTAAACTTTATTAACTTAATTTGATTAATGTTAAACTGTTGCAATTTAAAACTGTTTTGTCAGAAAAATATATTTTGTTACATTTCGATGTTAAAAGATGTTAATTTTATTGCTGCTTGCCTATTTATTAATTTTATTTTATTTTTTATTATAACCAGGGATCGGAATAGGTAGAGTTTTTTTACCAAAACTTCGACGAATATAGACAGAAAATGGAGACTGCCTTACGACAACATTTTTTAGGGCCTGAGCCCGTTCGGGATTCGGGAAATCACTTAAGGACATTAAAAATTTACCTAATTGGGGACAGGCAGGTACACTATATTTATCTTAACTTTGTTACGCACAGTGAGTCGGATCTGCGATATTGCGGATATTGGATTTTTTTCACGATACCTCTCTAAAAAAATGCCAATTGAGAGATCCTACTGTCCTAATTAAATATTGTCTATATCACATCTATATCACATTTTGCCATAAATCTAATAGTTTAGTAGGAAAAAAATTAAATGTGTATTTTTTGTATGGGACCCTAACCTTTAGTGCCCCATCGTTACAAAGTCTTAGTCGATATAGTCTTGAAATCACCACAGACGTATTATTAGATCTATCTTCTACAGATTTGCACACTACACGCGCGCCCAAACTTGCGTATTCACTACTTATACGCGTCAGAAAATGTGCAAAAAGTGCTCATAAATACGATAATAATAATAACGCACACATTCTACGTAGCCCCGCATTAGGGAAA